TCAACGTGTCTGTGCTCATGTTGCCTTCATATTAAGTCATTTTTGGCTTTTTAAACAACAAACACATCCTCCCTAACAAAAAAATAACTCCAAAGAGGCAAATTATATTTCTTCATGTCAAGTAGGGGTAACGTGGGCTGCGAGTTTGAGTCCCCTGCTCTGGGGGGGGAAAAAGTCAAGAGGTAGTAGCTCCCTGAGGATGCTGGGGAATTTAGTGTAAAGCTTTACAAGCTGTACAGTATTTTACTTTGCTTTTAAAAACCTGCAAACGATTTTCACCAAGGAGGTTGAGTAACTCCATCGGCAACTCTCTGATTGTCTAAACCAGGGGTGGGAACTCCAGGCCTCAAGGGCTGATGTCCTGCAGGTTTTAGATGTGTCCTTGATCCAACACAGCTGATTTAAATGGCTAAATGACCTCCTCAACAAGTCCTGAAGTTCTCCAGAGGCCTGGTAATGAACTAATCATGTGATTCAGGTGTGTTGACCCAGGGTGAGATCTAAAACCTGCAGGACACCGGCCCTCGAGGCCTGGAGTTCCCACCCCTGCTCTAAATGTTATAGACAAGTTAAATGGTGAGGCTTGGTCCAGCTTAGGGTAAGTATCACAAAATAACCTCGATCCACGTATCCGTCTGGATACAGAGATTCAGTTCAGGAACGGTGTGAAATTTTTGATTTTACACAGTGAAATCTAAAATATTAGACCTCAGCTAGATACTTTGATATTGACTGTTTCCCCTCTGGAATTTAATTAACTAAAATAATCAGTTAAACATGTTAATGAATCTCGTACTGCAGAAGACGCTTTTTGATTCAGTCTTTTACGATAATCGTTAGTCAGTGAACCGAAAGGTGTATCACAAGCACCAACTTTTCTAAAGTTATTTTTTGAAGGAACTGCTCGACACGTTGGGAAATATGCAAACTGACTTCATTTCATCATGTCTGTGTGCAGAGCTGGAGCTGGGATTACTCTAGTTTAGCAGAAAGACTGAAATCACGGGGCAAACAGCGAGCACGCCTCTGTCCAAAGTTCAAAAATCCATCCACCAGCTCACTAATTAAAATGTGATCTTGTTTATATGATCTGTACACAAACAGAAAGGTAAAAGGGACACGTTATGGTTTTAGTCTCGCTGAATCGTCTCGAGTTAGACGCTCAATGCAGCGATAACAGCCCTGTGAAACTCAACAATCCTGATCCTCAAAATGTGCAAAGTTTCCCCGACATTTCCGCGCTGCACCCCTCTGAGCTCTGCAACCTCTTCTTCTTTTGCACCGCACGGATTTTCAAACCTGAAAATAAAACAATTGTGACTCACGGGCGGCGGAGGGCGGGATGGTGGAGGCGGCGGCGGCGGGTCCTTGATGACCTGGATAAACAGAAGAAGCAAAAGAGCGTCAGCACGGCCCGTCAGGAGACGCACAAACACACGCGCTCAAACCTCATCAGGACGAGCGCCGACAAGGCTGACAGAGGTGATTCGTGACAGGTGACTGAGCCAAACAGAAACATCCCTGAGCTCATCTCACGGTGGAGACGCCGTCGCTGCCAGCCTGTTTCGCAGCAGCAACTGCTGCCCCGTCGCGTCGCTGACTGCTGATTACAAGGATTCTGCTTGTAAACCAACATCAGGGGCCCCCCGTGCAAAATAAAGAAAAGCTGAAAATCAACTTGTTGACAGGGGAGTCTTTGGGGCGAGCGCCGCTGCCCGTTTAGCTCTTAATTAATTGGATGGGGTTCAGTGCTTCCAAGCAAT